ACTGTATGTCTGGCAAACCTGCCAAGATTCGGCCTCTGCTGTCTAGCCTGGGGACTGAGCCGTGATGCTTCTTCTAGGCAGAAGCGTAAAATTAGGTGATCCACAGATCTTCTTCAATGGTAATTTGCTCTTTATAGAGGTTGCACTCAAAGGGAAGGAGCGCTGGGGAAAAAAACACCGTCATGTGTGGCCCAGTTGAAGACCTCAACGATAGGGGCATGGTGCGGGGAAGCTGAGACCAGAGTGAAGAAAGATCCTACCACGCCCTACACCCCGAGGCTTGAATAGCAAGCACTAAATGAGCAAAAAGCATATACTCCATCTTGGGCACTGTTTAATTACTTGACGTTCATGAAATATTAGATCTTGATGTTTTAAAAAAACATTTATTTTTACTTTTTAAGTATGTGTGTATGTGTCGGAGGGGGAGCTCTGACTGCACGCGTGAGCGCAAGTGCTCAAGGATCAGATCCCACCCCCACCCCCCCCCCCCCCATAGCTGGCAGTTGCATTCTGGGAACCAAACTCGGGACCGCTGCAAGAGCAATAGGTGCTTTTAACCACGAAGCCATCTTCCCCGTCTTTGAATGCCCAAATAAATTTAAATATTTATTTACGTGTTTGGTGGTGTTGTGTGTGTGTGTGTGCGTGTGTGTGCGTGTGTGTGTGTGCATGTGTGTGTGTGTTCGTGTTCGTGCACGTTCTGTGGCAGTCAGATGTTTTCCTCATCTTCCATCTTGTTTCTGAGACAGTCTGTCTAGCTCGCCACTGCGCTGTGTATCCTAGGCTAGCTGGCCTGTGAGCTTCTTGGAATTTGCTTGACTGTGTCTTTCATCTCACTGTCGGAATGCTGGGAAAATAGACTAGTACCTCCGTGCCAGCCCTTTTTTTCTGCCTTCTGGGAATCCGAAATCAGGTTATCAGGCTTGTGTGACCAACACTTTGACCCACTTCGCTATCTCCCTGACCCTCTGAATCTACTTTTGTTTTTTTGTTTGTTTGTTTGTTCGTTTGTTTTGTCTTTGAGAGAAACTATAAAAATGTCGAGCAACCAGCCTGGTGTTCAAATTATCAGTTAAAATATGGGGCACTATTTAAATTTTATTTCAAATAATTTAAAAAATAATTTTCAAATATTATATGGGGATGCATATATAAAAGCTAGTTATTAAATGTATTAAAAAATAATTCTTTGGGGCTAGGACGTGACACAGTCAAAAAAGTTCCTGCCGTGCAAGTATGAGGAACCAGGATTCTACTCACATAAAACACCAGGTATGTAATCCCCACACTGGAAAAAAAAGGGGCTAGGAGGGACCCAGGGATTCCTCGGCCAGCAAGTCTAGCTCAATAAGTGGATTCAAGACTGTAGTAAAGGACCCTTGTTCAAAAAACAAAATGGATGGTTCCTGAGGCTTCTACATGAACTTGCATACACATGCACCCCCACATGAACACACAACACACACACACGCGCGCGCACACACACGACTATTCTTTTGCATAGGCATGCCACAAGTAGTATTTGAGAATGTTTCTATAATTGAAAATTATTCTTTGCTTATCTGAAAGTTAATTTAATTGCATTCCAAGTATTTTTATTTATCGAATCTGCCAACCTGGTCCCTTAAGGTCTCACAGCTAAAGAACAGTCAACTGGGAGTCACCGTCCCTTCGTCCCCAGAAACAGCTCGCTCCAGCACACACCCTTCATTGTGCTCTCAGGCTTGTAGCAGCACCTGGGGCGATCGGGAGCTAGCAGCAAGCCCTTTAATTGACCATCCTTACTACAGAGCTGACTTCTCCCGGTGCCTTCTATTGAGGGCTACAGGGAACCAGCCATCTCCACAGGAAATCTGTAAAGGAATTGTCTAACACCCCCATTTCAGAGTCTGTGGAACCTAGGCAGAAGAGTCGTTTGCGCAAGGTCCAGGGAGGAGTATAGATACTTTTTCTTTACCACTGTCACATGCAGAGAGAGCTGGGATGTAATTCAGTTGGGAGAGTGCATTTGCCGCATCCAGCATCCAGGAAGCCTTGGGTTTCATCCCTAGTACTGAGTCAACTGGACATGGTGGAGGATGCCTGTGTTCCCAGCTCGAGGGAGGTGAAGGCAAGAGACTCAGAAATCCACAGTCCTCCTTGTTTATCTAGTTCAAAGCCAAGCGGGGATACATGAGATTCTGTCTTAATGAAAAAGAAAAGTCAATGTGTGTGGGTGGGTAGGGAAGCAGGTAAATCACTTGCTGTGTGAACATAAGGATTAGGATTCCAGAGCCTCTGAATCCACACAAAAGTCAGGCGGGGATAGGGTGGCCTACCTGTAATCCCACTGCAGGGGAAGAGGAGACAGAACCCCCAGAGAAAGCTGGTCAGCCTGACTAACTAAAACAGGGTGGGTTTACTGAAAGTCCCTGACTCAATATAGAAAGAGGAGAAGACTCAAGGATGACGCCTGACATATTTTGGAAACTTGGGGTTCCACATACACACAGATACAATGTGAACACACACTCCCTCCACGTCATTGCCCACTACACAGGAGAGCATACACGGGCTCCCCCCCACACACACACACCGTGCAAAAAGACATTCCTAAGAGGGGCTGCCCCATAAAGAAATGAGCATTTAACTCATAAGTTTAGGGTCTAAAAGCATATATATACATACGTACATACATGTATACATACATATATACATATGTATGTGTGGTCAGGCACTCAGCACGGTTACTCAGTTTAGCTAGATTGCCTCCTGGTGGGAATGCATGTTACTCCATCTCTCTCCCTCTCTTTGCATGAGTTAGCAAGATGGCTCAGAGCATAAAGGTGCTGAGGATCTGAGTTCAATCTCTGAGCCCCACTGGGTGAAAGGAGTAAACCAACTCCTGTAAGTTGTCCTCTGACCCTATACTCAGACTCAGTCACACACACACACACACACACACACACACACACACACACACACACAAACACGTCCTCCATAAAATGAATCAGAAAAAAATAGAAATGATTGCATGATGGGGCTCCTCCCAAACCCAGTCACGCCCTGTGAAGGCCCCATCTCTACACACTGTGTTCAGATTAAGTTTCTACTCTCCTGATACCATTAACCCAATGTGTTGGGCTTAACGTCCCTGAGTGAGTCAGAGGAGGGCTGGAGACTGAGCTGGGCTTTGGACCTGGGCGTTTAAATTCATCACTTTAGAACAGGATTGAAACAACATGGGGATCTGGATGTTTCCTAAGAGCCGTCCTTACCGAGTACTGGCTGTATTCCAGGCCCTAGAAGTCGATACGATTTACAGTTTTGAGTTTCCCTCATCGCTTTTACATCCATAGTGATCAATCTCGGAAGCAATCCAAGAGAGAATCCCTAAGGAGTCATGGTATTTCTTTGAGAACGCGATGTGCCGAGGTAAATTATGGGTGTATTCAAAGCTGAGACAAAGGGAGAAGATTTATTAGCAGAAAATGGAGTGATGGGGGCTGAGAGATGGCTCCGCAGTTAAGAGGACTTTCTTCACTCGCGGAGGACCTTTTCCTGTATCCACAGATAAGAGCATCACAAATGCCTAAAACTGCAGCTCCAGGGGATCCAGCACATAATGCACACTGCGTGCACATGGATACACACGCACACACGTACACACACACAGACACACGTGCGCACACACACAGATACACACACAAGCACACACACACACACACACATCCCCCATAGATAAAAAGAAAAGGGAGAGATTGATGAATACTGCTTGGATACAAAGCTCGTTGGTTTGGAGACCTGAAGGATCACCTGGCAATAGCTCATTGGTGGAGAAGCTGTTGTGGAAGAGTGTCCTGTCAGAGCATGTCAGTATGCTGAAGGTGGAATCCATTACACACATGTGTGCACATGTGAAAGGTGTGTCAAGCCTGGGCATGTGTGTAGGTCAGAAAGGAATTTCTCATGAGACTTCAGAAAATTATAAAGTTCTAGTCTCAGTCATCAGTCATAAATTCTTGCTTTTAATTTTTTTTAATTTATTTACTTTTTGTGTCTACGTACATGTTCCTGCACGGGCATATGTGTGTCACATGCATGCAGTGCCTGTGGAGACAAGAAGAGAGCATCGGATCTCTGGAGCTGGAGTTACAGGCAGTTGTGGACCCTGAATTCAGGTCTTCTGCATGAGTACTAAATACTTTTAACTGCAAAGCCATCTCTCCAGCCCTGAGCTCTCTCCTTTTTATAACTTCCTGGCTCTCATGTTGGCTAGGTGAGATGAGAAATTTCATGTTGGTGTAACCAGATTTCATGCCCGTAGGTTAGGCAGGTCTTGAACTTGGGATCCTCTCACTTCAGCCTCCCAAACAGCAAAGAATACAGGCATGAGCCGATTGCTTTCTCTGTCTCATTTTCTTTTTCCACATTTATTTGTTGGTTTGTTTCCTCTGTGTATGTGTTTCAGGGGTGTGTGTGTGTGTGTGTGTGTGTGTATGTGTGTGTGTGTATCAAGAGGCCAGAGTATACCTTGCAGGAGTCAGTTCTCTTCCACCTCCCAGTATCCTGGTATCAAATCTATGTCCTCAAGCCTGGCGGCAGGAGTTTTCACCTGCTGAGCCATCTCACCCATTCCTTCCCACCTTCTCTTAAAAAGGACCCTAAGAGAGCCATCAAGATGGCTTGGTGGGTAGAACATTTGCTGCCTAGCCTGGTGACCCCAGGACCCTCCCACGGTGGAAAGAGAACACCCTTCCAAAACAAACAAACAAAACATGGTTAACAAATAACTTTAAAAGGAGGCAGGACCCGCAACCCCGGCTCTCCCCTTACTGAGCACAGCAGACATCTCACTAACCTTCTAGGGCAGAGGCTTTAATGACATTGCTTTCCTATTAGGGACATGGAGCCTGAAGACCTTCCACCCCCTGCCTGAGGCCACAAAGATCCCCTCACCTAGTAGTCCTACCTGTATTTCATGCAGTACTTCCTTCTCTCGCCATGAAGAGGAAGAAGAACGCAGAGGTGAACACTAAAACCCCAGTTAGTAAAGGTAAGAGACGAATGGTTCCAGAAAACATGGGTGTGTGTAGGGTGAACCTCCTAGGCCTGACTGATGGCAAGAATTTAGACACGAGACCTTCCCTCACCCCCACATATCTGTGCTCAGAGTTCTCTCGGGGTCGTATATCAGTTGTCTGTATAGTGCTATGGTAAAACACCATGACCAAAGCAACTTAGAGATTTAGGTGAATGGCTGTTCCCTGGGTAATTCTTCAACGGATCTCGGTGTTGTTAGAACACTTTCAGGGTCAATGTTGGGATCAAGAGGTACAAGCTTCCTTACAATTTTTAATTACAGTTTTGGTCAGAGGATGACTTTCTGAATTACTGCAGTCCTTTTACTGTGTGGGTCCCAGGGATCAAACTCAGGTCCTCGGGCTTAGAAGCAGATACCTTTTACCCGCTAAGACATCCTGCTTGCCTGGCAACGATGTCTAATGGCAGCGGGCTTCACAATTAAAAGTAGTATTACTTCTCCTTCCCCAGCAACCTGGCTCTTTGCCTAGAGGGAGTACTTTCCGGTTTCTTGTGGTAGCCAGAAAGTGCTGCTTTCATAACCAACTATTTGTGTATCCATTCCAGGTGTGAAATTTCCATTCGTGTATCCATGACACGTGTGAACTATCCTTTCGTGTGTCCATGACATGTGTGAACTATCCATGTGTGCATCTATGACATGTGTGAATTATTCTTTTGTGTATCCATGACATGTGTGAACTATCCATCTGTGTATCCATTACATGTGTATCCGCATGTGTGGAAAAGTATGCATAGATGCTTTTAGTATCTATAGTATCTATAGTATCTATGCATAGTTTTTCACACGTGTGGTAGCTTACTCTGGGTACCGCACAGGGCTTTGCTTCACTTTTGCTAGGATTGCTCTGAACACTCAAATAATTGCCGGGAATGTAGGACAGTGCACAGTACACATCAGCGTTAGTCAATGCTTGCCCATTAAGGGTTTATTGTGAATGGGTTTGCATCCCCGTTAAGGATTTATTGTGAATGGCTTTGTATCCTTATTAAAGGTTTATTGTGAATGGGTTTCCCTACTCTTAGAAACCGGAACAGCCTCACACCTCCTTCCTCCTCCACCAGCCACACCTTTACCGAATCCTGATCAGACACTAAGCCAGCTCTCTGAAAAGAAGCGAAGAGTTCCAACCACGTTGCTGCCAACTTGGTACAAGGTAAGCTGTGGGTTCCTTCCTTTGATCAGAAGCTAGCTTGGTCTACAGAAGGCAAGGGCATCCCCACCTTTCAGCCCAGCTCGGGGGTCTGCCCTAGTTGTACATTCCAACCAGGACCACCTCAGGGAAGGGCATTTTTCTAAGCGATGCTCCCCTCTTTCCTAATTTCCGCTCCTGATAGGATGACACCAACATCCTAATTTCCTTCCTTCTCTTTCTTTAAGATTTATTTTATTTTTAACTAGGTGTATGTGTGTATGTGTGTGCATATGAATACAGAGTCCTGGAAGCCAGAAGAGGGCATCAGACCTCTAGGGCTTGAATTGCAGGCGGTTGTGAGCTGCCAGCCATGAGTGTTGGGAACTGAACTCTGGTCCTCCGCAAGACCAGCTGAGCACTCTCACCACCAAGTTATCTTTCATGTTCTCTATAGCAGGTATTGCCACCTGGCAATACCATATATTTTAACTTGTTCATCGCCTGTCTCTTCTTCCCCATCTGTGAGGGCAGGGACCTTGTCCCTTGTCTTCTGGTGAGTTACTGACACATCCCCTCTGCCCAGAAACAAATGTGATGAGTGGTGGAGATGGAAAGGTCTTGATGGGGTGTGGGGTGTCCATTTTCAAGAGTAAGACTATTGCACCTTGCCCTTTGAGGGTAAAAAGTTTATTAACTCATAGATAGGCAGATAGCAGTATGGCAGGGCCTCTGAGAAGAGTTCAAACACAAAAGTAAGGGAGGGGAGGTCCCTTCTTATAGGTCTGGGGTCGGGGAGAAAGTTTCACAGCATGAGCCCTCATTCAGGTAGCAGGGGTAGAGGAAGGAATTCTTCAGAAGGAATTCTAGAAGGGCTTCTAGAATGTCAGAGAAGAGGGGGCATGCCTCATTGATTCGTACCCATTATACTCTCTGATGTCGCTTAGTCCTGCAAACTAGCTTGTTGAAGTAAGAATGATGCCTGCCCTTCTCCTGGAATCTGGGTGCCTGGGGAGATGGTTAGAGATTGGCAGACAGACTCTCCCTCAAGAGGGGGCTCACCCTTTTCTTTACAGAAGAAAGAGGACTCTGCGAGCTGACCTGGCCTGAGCAGCAGTCTGGTCTGGACTTTTAACACACTTTCTGCATCTGGGCTGAAAGGGTGATGGACAATGGGTGTGTGCATGGGTGAAGGAAGGAGCTCGTGAATGGTTCTTCTGAAGCAGCCAGCCTTGGCGCAGTCGCCCTGGAATCCACATCTCCTTACGCAGGCACTTCTGATTTCCCTTTGGGGATGCCTTGTCTTCCCACCACTTTGGATGAAGCTGATATTTTTCTTTAAATTCTTTTATGTTAATGACTTTTGTTACGCTATCCAAGCTTTCAATTTAGTATCATTTTTTGACAGTTCCACACACACATACTCTATCATGACTGTATCCATACACACACACCCATTGTCTTCTCTCGATCCTCCCATCCCTACTGTGTCCCAACTAGAACCCCCCTCCTGTTTTCATACCTTTCTTTTTTGGCCCATGAATGTAATTAGGGTTGGTTGTATTAGCATGGGTGTGGGGTTATCTCCTGGAGCGTGGGAAAGTTAACAGTGGTTACACCATTGAAGAAAATGACGTTCCCTTCCCCTGGCAAACATTAAGCACGGATAGTTCCCAAGGTGGGGTCTCGTAATCCCCTCCCCCTGTAATTATGGGATGTTGATGGGCCTACTCTTGTGCAGGTCTCCACAGCTGCTGTGTGTTCATGAGTGCAACGGCCATGTCATATCCAGAAGACAGCATTTCACAGCCCTCCTCTTCATCCTCCAGCTCTTACATTCTTTCCACCTCCCCCTTCTTCAGTGTTCCCTGGGCCTTGGACGGGGCGATGTAGGGAGAGGCTGATCTGAACCTCACCCCACTTCCAAGCTTACTCGGGGAATAGCAATTGATTCAAGGCTGGGCGTTGTGACTCAGTCCTGACCAGTGAGAACTGGTCCAGAGACTTGCTTTGACCTCAGGGTTGCTCAGACTGCTGGGACAGAATCCTGGAGGGGCACTGTGGCAAATGAGAGTTCCAGAGGAGAGATGGGGAGAGATGGGCAGCCATCAGCAAGTCTGAAGTACCTGGAGGCTCACATGGGCTTCTCCTCAGCAACTGGAGGACTGGACCGTCTTTCCTATTAGCAACAACAACACTCACATGCACACATACACAATGCACATACAGAGATACACACACATGTACACACATACATATATACATACATACATTTACACGCCCACATATATATACACATACATTCACACACCCACATATATATACACACCCACATACACACCATACATATACACATATACATCATACACATATACATTCACAGAGACATACCCACTATACACATACGTATACACATACACCACATACACAGAGATTACATACATATACACATACACATACATATACACGCTATACACATACACATATACATACATTTACACATATACCTACACATATACAGTATACACATACCCAATATACACGTATATATACACATACCCAAACACACCTATACTCACATACTACACATACATACACGAATACACATACTATACATATACACAAACATACACTTACACATACACAGACTACATTTATACATATACGTACACATACACATTGGACACATACATCAACACATACACATATTCACTATCCACCTATACATACATAACCACTGTGTATACGTACACATATACTACACACGTATACATACCTACATATATATACACCACATGTACATATCCACCATACATTTACACCACACAGACATACTACACAGATACATATACATACACATACACCACGTACACATACACAGAAATAATACTTTAAGACTCACAAGGAAGTTATAAGAATTGCACAAAGGTCACCCAATGTCTGACATTTCTCCTGTTGCCCTGCCATCTGCATTCTTGTTTCCAAAGCCATCGAGCATAGAGTGCGTGCATTATCGCGCCCCCCTCTGAATACTTCAGTCTGTGTTTCCTAAGATCGGCGATCGTTTTCAGCGCTGGAGATTGATTGATCTCTTCCCATCTCACAGATGTGGAAACAGAGGCGTGGGAAGTCACTCCTCCACGGGCCCCCAGCTCGTTGATGGTCAGGGGAATTCAAACCCAAGACCCTGGCGCTGACTCCACACGCCCCGCCCCTGTAACTGTAGAGTGCTCACTCTAAGGCGATGCTAACCTTCTCTCCTTCCTTCTGTGTTCTTCTTTCCTCTTGAAGCTCTTTCCCTTCGGTATTGACCTTCTGAGTGACCTCGCTCTGCTCCGCTCTGCTCTACCTTCCTCCTCGGCACTGGATCCTCAGCTGTCACCTACTCTTTCAAACACGTGGAGAGGTCTCCTGGGCATGATCTTCTAGCACCCGCCATGCCACCCTGGGGTGCCCCCGAGGCCGTGTCCAGGCCCCTTCTCCCTGCTCTGCACTGCGTGCTCTAGAAGGACACACATTTGGCTGTGGCCATGTGAAGTGTTTGAATAGAATGGTGCTGCGGTCTTTACGTTATAGTCTGTGTGTGAGCATTCAGGGCTGGCCGAGCCAGGGACCTTTGATCTTGTTCTTCCGTAGGGTGCTGAGGAGCATTCACCCCGGTTCAGCTCACAATCTGAACCAACAGAAGTGGGGTGTAGGAAAGGAAGGTCCTTTTCTTTGGTCCTTCTAAAAGCAAATACGGGGCCAGCGAGATAGCTCAGTGGGCAAGGGGTGCCCACTCTTATCAGTGAGCCATCTCTCCAGCCCCTGAGTCTTAAACAGTGTAAAAAGCTTTTGCTTATGTCATAGCTTTCCAATATCCCATTAACCAAACCTGGGTCCAGAATGGGAAGACAGTGCCTGGTCACACACTCCTAGCTTCATTTCCATTGCTGCAATAAAATACCATGGCAGAGCGCAACTGAAGGGGGGAGTTATTTGGCCTGTAGTTCCAGGTCCTAGTCCATTCCTTACTGTGGAGAAGTCAAGGCAGGGACTAGAAGCATCCCATCCACAATCAAGAGCAGAGAAAGGAACGCACCCACGCTGCCTGCTTGCTTAGCACCCAGCTAGATTTCTCTACTCTTATACTGTCCAGAGCTGAGACCATGAAATCATGCAGCCACATTCAGGGTGGGTCTTTCCGTCTTAAGGAACTCAATTAAGATAACCCTTCCCCCAAGAGACCTACTTGATCTAGACAATTCCTGACTGAGACTCTCTCTGTCCGGGTGATTCTGTGTTGTGTCAAGTTAATAATTGAAGCAAATGATCACGCTGAGGGACAAAGAACAGGTCAGCAGTCAAGGCCACTTCCTGCTCTTGCGGAGGACCTGAACTTGGTTCCCAGCACCTACATTAGGCAGCTCACAGTGACCTGGGACTCCAGTTCGGGAGGATCTGGCATCCTCTTCTGGCCTTCACAAGCACCTGCACACATGTGACATAAACCACACACACACATATACACATTAAACACACACGCACACAAATACACACACAAATAGTATGGACCTAGCGCGAAGTAAGAAGGTACCAGGGCCATCTTCGCAGTCTGCAACGGTGTAGAATTTTGAATACAGCTCAAACGCCCACCTCTTTGCATCTCCTCTCCTGGGCCAAGGGGAAGACGAGGCCTCGTATGAGCGGTAGTGGGACTTTGGTGTTATAGGAACCAGTGATCTTCAAAGATGTAGCTGTGTACTTCAGCCAGAAAGAGTGGCAGCTACTGGAGCCTGCTCAGAAGGACCTGTACAAGGATGTGATGCTGGAGAACTACGGGAACCTGATCTCTGTGGGTAAGGATGATCGGCAATGCCTTCTGGGTTCACAAGGGTCTGTGGGTCGCAATTCCGAGAGGCTGTGGTTCCCAGGAATGAACTCTGCCATAGAACTAAATTCAGACCCTGCAAATTGGGTGCTGTTGGCCTCATCTGAAGAATGGTGCTTTTCAACAATCCTCCACTTTAGAAGTTTAGTTTTTAACTCATATGCGTGGGAGGGGGTGGAATGTATTGAGAATGAATGCCTACGGCGCCCACTCCCGACTCCTCACAGGCACTGACCGCTCTGGCTTAAGTCAGAGGAGCACAGTTAAGCCAATCCTGGTGGTCAGTGGGGCCAAGAATGGGTTGATTGGCTGATATGGTAGTGGGCTCCTGGATTAGCAGAAATTTGAGCTGTTGTGATGGGGGTGGAGCAGGACAAGGCTAAGGAGTAATTGTCTCCCTGTTCCAGTTGGCTGTTCTTTGTGAAAATCTCTTAGCACTCTCCTTTCTGGGCAGACACTTGTTTAGAAAGGGATTCTTGGGAGACATGCAGCAGTTTTTTTTTCTTCTTTTTCTGTGGAACAGAATATTATATTTTCAAGCCAAGGCTGATCACCAGATTAGAACAGGGCGTTGACCTTTTTGCCAAAGAGAATGATGTTCCTGGAGAATGCCAGCAAGGTGAGGCAGGAGTCAGCCGGAGCGACACCTCTGCAGGTGAGTCCCAGGGCCATTCTAACGTCTGTCAATCATCCCCATCCTCCGTCATGCTGGGAACTTGATGGGTGACTACAGAACTTGATTCATTTGAGGCAAGCTGTGTCTTTCTCCTAGCCCCAGAGGTGCTGGCATTCTCCAGTTTGGTACCGTACTTCTTCCTTCCCTTTGCCCTCGGGTTTGCAGGTGACAGCCTGACTCTAGACTGTCATGCTGGCTCTCTTTCCCTCGAATGATGATTCTGCACTCTTTCTCGGTTATTGCTCCCACCAGAACGTTTTCCTTTTTATCTTTGAGTGGGTAAATGTGTGTGAGAGAGTGTGAGTGGGTGTGTGTACATCTGTACAAGAGAGTGTATTGTATGAAAGCGTGTGTGTGAGTGTGTGAGTATGTAAGTGTGTGGTTGGGTGAGTGTGTAAGAGTGCATTGTGTGAGTGTGTGACTGAATGTGTGAATGTGAGTATATGTGAGTGTGTGAGAGTGTATTTGAATGTGTATGAAAGTGGGTGTGAGTATGTGTAAGTGTGTGATTGAGTGTATGAGAGAGCATGTGTGTGAATGTGTGATTTGTGTGACAGTGTGAGTATATGTGAGTGTGATTGAGTACGTATGGGTATGTGTGAAAGAAAGAGAGAGTGTGTGTTTGTGTGTTGTGTCCTCATGAGGGTGTGGGTGCCCATGTAGGCCAGAGCAAGATATCAGGTGCCTCCCTCTATCTCTCTCCATCGTATTTTCTTAAGGCAGGGTCCTTCACTGAACCAGAAGCTCACCTTCTGGCTGGGCTGGCCAGCTAGTGAGTTCTCAGAATCCTCCTGTCTCTGCCCTAGGAGAGGAGGTTAAAGAAGTGGGAGCTAATTCATGGCCTACACTCACCCACACCTAAAGATGTGCACACACGTATAGGAAGATTGGAATATAGGCTCTCCATATGAGAGAAAATATGCAATTTTTGTCTTCCTGAGTCTGCCTTATTTTTCTTAACACAGTAGTTTCCAGACTTTCTTACATTCCTTATCGAATCTGCCTTATGTGTCAGATATAAGAACAATTGTGAGTTTCAGTGACCCTAGTACCTCTCCGTTAAAATGACTAAACTGTGAAGTGCGAATGCTCTGGGGGCATCATCTAGGGCTTTGTTAGCCGCCAGGACAAAGAGAGTCCTGGTGACGTACACAGAACATAAGCTTACCTTCGTAGTTCTGATGTAGGAAGTCCAGGTTTGGGATACAAGCCCTAGAGAACCGTAGGGAGAACCTTCTTTTGAGTCAGAGGCTCTTCTTCATGTGCTTACAAGGCGTTAAGAAATCCAGAAAGATCTCTGGCCTCTTTTTAAAATAAAAATCCCATTTATGGGGGGGGGGGGTTCATCTTCATGACATAAATGACCTCTCAGGGGCCCCACCTGCAAGTGCCATCTTATTAGGAATTAAGCAGGAAGGACGCCAGCATTAAGTCAATTGTAGAGATAGAGCATCAAGAGCTCCCGTAGACTGCTGATGGAAGTGCTGACTGGTGGAGGTGTCTGGGGAAAATAACCATCAGACAATATCTACCAGAACTGTACATCTCTATCGTGGCTACCCCAACAACTATAGTCCCAGCTACAGACATGACAGAAATGTGCAATTCTATCCAGAGTGCCTCAGACTGAGGTCTACCCAGATCCAAATAAGTGAGAAAATAGTGAAATATATATTCGGAATATTCACATCAAGAGATATTATAAATAATGCAAGTGAGAGAGAACCATGATACAAAATAATGAAATAATGTGGGTGACTCTCACACATAGCATTAAGTGCAGACGGTCAGGTACTAAAGAGAGCATACTATAGCTGCTCATAAGTTAGCTCAGAGCAGACAAAACTAATTTATAATATTAGAAGCCAGGGCTGGGGCAGTAAGATGCCTCAGCAGGTAAGCACTTGCCACCAAACTTGACAACCTGTATTGGCTGGATCCTGGAACCCATGGGAAAGGAAAGAACCAATTACCACAAGGTGGCCTCCGACTTCCACATGCAAACTGTGGCACACCCCATCCCTCCACCATTACTTAAGTTCCAAGAATGTGAAGACAATGACTAGAAGGAAAATGAGAAAGGGTTGGGGTGGAAATGATTGCTTACCTGCTTCTGAGAGTAACCTTGGTGCTATAGACATGATTATATTCACTTTGTGAATGCCAAACAAATATTTTATATTTTATGCTTTCATGCATATGTTATATTCTAATTATTAGTAAACATTTTTCATTAAAACAAAGCCAGACATGAAACACCTCTTTGTGATCCTTCATGGAGCTGGAGAGATGGTTCAGTGATAAGAATGTTTACTGTTCTTGCAAGGACCAGGATTCAGTTCCAAGCACCCATGTCAGGCAGCTTACAACTACCTATAACTCTAGGTCCAGGACATTCGATGCCCTCTTGTGGCTGCACAGGCACCTGCACTCACATGCATATACTCACATACAGAGGCATGCTCACATACAGGCGTGATCACATACAGGTGCACGCATGCATGCGTGCACACACACACACACACTCTCTCTCTTTTTGTAATTTAAACCTTTAAATCTCCTTTAGGAAAGAAGACAGGGAATAATTCGAAGACAGAAATCCCAAAGCCAGACAATTCTAAGACAACGTCTCGGGAGAAGCAGAAGAAAGCAGATCAAGGGGGTGGTTCCAAGAGTTTGAGTGCAGAAAAGCCTTCCAAAAGCGATGTCAGGCCATCTCAGAGAAAGGAGAAGTGTGGCCCAACTTCGACAAGAGAAGCAGGCAAAGCAATTATTCCCGGCACTAAGGAGCATGGGTCTGTGACCCCAGGAACATCTTCGAGTAAAGAGTCAGCAGCTACAGCACCACGGAGCACCCCTCCTGAAAAGTCGACTTTGGGGAAAGACTCTCATGAAAAAACACAGTATGGCAGCAACTCCACCAAGCCCAAGCGTAAGCCTGCCCGACAAGGTAAGAACCACTTTAAATGTAAGGAATGTGGGAAAACCTTCAACCAGACCCTCCACCTCGTGGAGCACGAGAGAATTCACACAGGAGAGAAACCCCACAAGTGCGACACTTGCGGGAAATCTTTCAGGCACCTCTCGTACTTCCTTACACACTACCGAATTCACACGGGGGTGAGACCCTACAAGTGTAAGGAGTGTGGCAAAGCCTTCAACAGCAGCTCCACTCTCAACAATCACTGCAGGATCCACTCGGGGGAGAAACCCTTCAAATGTGACGAGTGTGGGAAAACCTTCAAGCAGAGCACGAAGCTCACTCGCCACCAACGGATCCACACGGGGGAGAGACCCTACAAGTGCGGAGAGTGTGACAAATGCTTCGGCCGCAGCTCGTCGCTGAGGGAGCACAAGAGGATCCACACCGGAGAGAAGCCATACCGCTGCCAGGTATGTGGGAAATCCTTCAGGGTCAACTCCCATCTTTCGGAGCACCAGCGGCTCCACCTGAAGGTAAAGCCCTACAGGTGTGACAAGTGCGGGCGGCACTTCCGAAACAGCACTTACTTAGCAGAGCACAAGCAGAGCCACGTGCCCGGGGCCCGAGTGGACTGCTCGGAATGCGGGAAAGTCTTCGATTGCAAAGTAGCCCTTCTCAAGCACCAGAAAAGACACGAGGCAAACTCCAGGTATCGGTGCAAGGGATGTGGGAAAACGTTTAGGTGCAAATCAAGCATCCAGAGGCATGAGAGGCTGCATGCTGGGGAGAAGCCTTTCGTGTGCACCAAGTGTGACAAAGGTTTCACTGACAAAACTACGTTGAACAATCACTTGAAGATCCACTCTGGAGACAGGCCAGATCCGTGTGCCCAGTGTGGGAGAACCTTTAAGAAACTGGCCACCCTGCTGCTCCACCAGAAAAAGCATGTGAAAAAGAAACCTGCCGACAATGTATAAAAGACTTTCTTTAGCCAGAACTCACCTCTTGGGGTCTTTGGAACTAAGTCGAAATGAGAGAAACTATATAAGTGACCAGTTTCTTCATTTCTTAGTAGCTGTTTACTTAAGCCAGTAGTTGTCCACAGAAGACTGGTTTCAACCCTTCCCCTACTCGGAGCATTTGTGCAATATAAATAGACATTTTTTTTGTTATTATTATTCCAGCATTAGGTGCCGCTATCAACTGGCATCTATGGATAGAGGCAAAGGGTGATATCAAATATTCTACAATGTAACAAACAGACTCCCTTGCCTTCCAATAACTAAGAATGATTTTCTTCTCTCAAGCAAAAGCCATATGGGCATTTGGATTTGAGAAGGAGTTCAGGTAGAGTTTCCTCTGTCAGCCACTACAGTAACCACTAACTAGGCATGGCTGTTTAAATGCCAAGGAACCAACATGTAATAAACATTCAAAGGCAGTCTCTTGGCTGCATCATCAACATTTCAAGGCCTCAGTGGGCAGTTGGTTTCTCTGGTCATTGATATCACGGACAACTAACATTTTCAACACCATGGAAGACTCTATTCGGAGCTCATTTATATCTTAGTGATCAATAATTATCTCGTGGGATAGACCTGAGAAACTAGGACACAACTTTGTGATGTTGAGTTTGTGCTTTTGATAGCAGAATGTAGCATTTTCTAAGTGTCGTGAATGTGTCGGAGCCTGCGATGTTTGGAGCACTTTCAGATCTCCGATTGGCCAGTGCCCCACCCACAGGACTCCTACCTCTGTGTGTGCAGTGGGTTACTAATAACGTCACTGATAACTGTGAGCATTCCCTGATCACTATCTACCTATCGAGTGTGGTGCTGAACTCCATGTGAATTAGCAGATCTAATTCTCATTAGAGTCCTATGAGAGAAGAACTCCTAGGTACCTAGTTTCCTGTTGAGAAAACCAAGACTTTTCCTTAAGAGTATCCTTCTTCTTCTCCACCCTTCTCCTCTCAGAGGACTCCTACCTCCATTGTGCCTCAGGCAGAATGATCAGTAGGTTACTAACAGTATTACTGATACAGTAGAGTGTTCATTGATGTCCTTCTACCTATCAAATATGGTGCTGAGATATTTACGTGAACTATATCACTTAATCAACCCTATCATATGAAAGAAGAAGCATTATGTACTTATTTTATTTTTTATTCCCTTGTGTTTTTTGAGGCAGAGTCTCACTGTGTAGCCTAGACGAGCCTCAAACTTGTGACAGTCGTCCTGCCTCGGTCTTTCCAGGGCTGGGACGACAGGTGTGAGCTGCCACACCCTGCTGAGCTGCTTGGTAATGATGTATTATTTCCAATTTTGCACTTATAGCAAGACTGCATTGCTAATTTTATATTGCACTCTTTCAAATAGATAAGATATATTATATATTTGCATAAATGTGTCTTTAAAGCTTGTGTGTGTGAGTGTGATGTGTGTGTGTGTGTGTGTGTGCTTACGTTTCTGTGTTAACAGCTCCTGATAGCAGAAAGCAGGAGCTGGGACAGAGGTCAGTAAATCCTGGAGTGTACAGATATAGGTGGATCTAGCCACAGCTACTTGGAAGGTTTTGGTACATGCCACACAGACTGATTTATGAATTTTCTGTCCAATGGTTATTTGGAGGCACACAAGATGGTGTCGAGTTAGGGAACAGAGACCCAACATCTCATTGGCTGCAGATATTTTCTCTGTGACCTTTGATGGAAAGCATTGGCTGGCCACCTCTTGATGATGGATGAGCTGGAATGGATGGAGACTCCTTCCTCCAGTGTGCCTAGGGCAGAATGCTTAATAACATCACTGATAACTATGAGCCTCTATTGCTCACACTCTACTTACCAAGTGTGGTGCTGAACTCTGTGTGGGGGTTAGCAGACCTAATCCTCACCAGAGTCCTAAAGATCTGTTACGTACCTAGTTTTCTGTTGAGAAAACCAAGACTTTTCCTTAAGAGTATCTATCTCTTCTCTCTTCTCCTTTCTTTCTTTTTTTTTTAGTTACAGGACTCCTACCTCCATTGTGCCTCAGGCAGAATGATCAGTAGGTTACTAACATTATTACTAATACAATTGAGTGTTTATTGATGTCCTTCTACCTATCAAATATGGTGCTGAGATCTTTACATGAACTATATCAATTAATCAACCCTACCAGTCATATGAAATAAGAAGCATTATGTACCTTATTTTGTTTTTTTATTCCCTTGTGTTTTTTGAGGCAGAGTCTCACTGTGTAGCCTAGACGAGCCTCAAACTTGTGACAGTCGTCCTGCCTCGGTCTTTCCAGGGCTGGGACGACAGGTGTGAGCTGCCACACCCTGCTGAGCTGCTTGGTAATGATGTATTATTTCCAATTTTGCACTTATAGCAAGACTGCATTGCTAATTTTATATTGCACTCTTTCAAATAGATAAGATTTATTACATGTTTGCATAAAATGCGTGTTAAAATTTTGTATATTATGTGTGTGTATGTGTGCGCGCACGCATGTGAGCACACACTGCATTTCTGTGTAGATAGCTTCTGAGGGCAGAAAGCAGGAGCTGAGACAGAGGTTAGTACATCACGGAGTGTACAGACCTAGGTGGATCCAGTCACAGCCTGCTGGAAGAGGAGTTTTAGTACATACCACATAGACTTGTTTATGAATTGTCTATCGATCCAATGGCTGCTTTGCGGCTTACAAAGACAGCATCAAGTTATTAGAACAGAGACTCAGCATCTCAGTGAAGCTGAAAAGACTCTATAGCCTATGGAGAGTTGGCTAGCCAGCTCTGAATGGCTGACAAACTGGTGAGAATTAGGGAGAAAGTGATTCGGACAAAGAGAAGGCCAACTCTGTGGCAGCCCCGCTGGAAGTCTTCTGCCACATTTCCCAGTGTTGAAGATCTGCGGCATTGCAATCCAGTACAGATTACCTGTGTGTGTTTGTGTGCACATGGCCACATGTCTCTGCATATTAGAAGACAAATTTTGGAGCTGTGGAGATGGTTCAGTTGTTAAAAGCCCTTGACACAAAAATGTGAAGAACCAAGTTCAAGTCCCCAGAATCCATGTAAATGCCAGGTGGGGGGATGGCAGCCCTCCTGCACTTCTGGGCTCAGAAGGTAGAGATGGACTCTCCAGAGCAAGCTAGCTAGAGAGACTAGCCACATTGGAGAGCTCTGGGTTTGATTGTGAGAATCTTGTTTCAATGAACACGGTGGACGAGTGATGGAGGTCAATTGCTGACATCAACTGTGGACCTCCATTTGCATCCTCCCACACATATGTGTACATAAACATGTAGAAATATATGCACATATGTGCACATAACACATGTGCTTGAAAAATGAACCAAAAAGACAAGTTCCACGACTTACCAGCTTGAAATGTAGGTCCTAACAGCTCTCACTCTGAAGTGTCAGAGACAACACTCTCAACTGATTTTGTTCAGATTGAAGAACCTCATCACCCACAGTTTGCAAAGCTCTGGTGGGTAACAGGACAGCAAGTTATGTGACCAGAATCTTCATCTGCCTCCCTTACCAGACCTTGAGCAATGCTTGAACGACTTATCTATCCAAAGACATATGGTGGTTCGCCCCATGATACCAACCAAACTTGTGACCTTCCATGTGCTCCAGATGCCACCAATGGAGCTGGGAGCAAGGGTTTAGTAATGAACCCAGGCTCAGTGGATTGTCTTCATATTTCATTCCGAACATTTTATTTCCACGCTTTGCTCTAAGAGGGCAGGAGGGGGCACAGATATCTTACAGTAAGAGTAAAAAAGCCGCAGATAAAGAAATCCCAGGACTCTGGTTGGAGCTCTTTGGTGATGTGGCTGCCTAACTCTTGGGAAGATCACAGGAGTGGGACTAAGATGTGTTTTGTGTAGAGTAGACTACATGCAGCCAGTTATTTTTACACAGATTGTTTATTACTGAAACATTTATTGTATATGGACTTGGCTATGTAAGAGAAAAAGGAGACTTTATATTTTCTGTGATCCTTTTGGTTTGCGAACAAGAAGCCAGCTCACACTAGCTGAGATGAAGACCAAAGTAACCAAAAGAAACTGGACATGCGTACTTGGGAGGGCTCCTTGCATGAAGGGTTCATGATGGCTGGGAACCTTGACAGGAATCAGGAACTCGATCCATGCAAGACATCTCTTGACTCTGGAGCTCTGGGTATTTCCTTACATAGTCCTTCTTTCAGTAGACCCAAGCATTCTCCATGTTAGGAAGATTTGGCTTCCAGCTATGCAGGTGCTTTTCAAACTTAGAGGAAAGAGAGTTCCTCTCACCCAGAAGAAGATCCCAGCAAGGCTTGTTGCAATTGGGAACCAGTCTGACAACTGGTTGGTCCCTCCTCATCCTTGAGCAAATGCAATAATAACATAGCACTTTTGTTAATTTTTTTGAAGATGGTCTCTATAGGGGGATGCTGGAGAGACAGGACCCATCTCTCTGAAGTAGAATGGACAGTGATGGCGCAGCTGGAGAAGAACTGATTGAAGCGTTGCCGGCAGTAACAACCGAAACACCCTCGAGCTCAAAGCAGGTTGGGTTTTTGTTGTTCTGTTTTTCATAATAAAATTATTATATTCATAGACTGGCAAGATGACTAAGCCAGTAAAGGTGCTTATTACTAAACCTGACGACGTGAGTTCAATCTCAGGGCCCCACACGATGGGAGGAGAGAACAAACTCTGGCAAGCGGTTCTCCAACCTCCACATGGGTACCCTGGCTAGAACACGAGCACATGCATATACACACAATAAATAAATGTAACAAGCATGTATTTTTTGATTCGTAATGCATCTATGACTAGTATTCAAAGTTTAGTCAGAAGGTATATATGAAGGTTTGTTTTGACATAGCAACAAAAATGTATACATAGCAAATGTTCAGCAATGAAACATGTTACACAGTTTTCTCCTTCCCTTCCTCTCTCCTTCCTTCCTTTCTTCCTTCCTTCCTTTTTTCCTTCCTTCCTTTCTTTTCCTTCCTTCCTTCCTTCCTTCCTTCCTTTCTTTCTTTCTTTCTTTCTTTCTTTCTTTCTTTCTTTCTTTCTTTCTTTCTTTCTTTCTTTCTTTCTTTCTTAAGACAGGGTGTCTCTATGTAGTCCCGGCTACCCTGGAATGTAGATCAAGACCAAGATGGCCTTGGACTCACAGAGATCCTCCTGTCTCTGCCTCCTAAGTGCTGGGATAGTGCATGCACCTCCACCCGCATCTATATATGTATTTTAATACCTGTACAAGCAAAATAAAACGAGACTTTTGTCTTATTTTTGTGTTTGTTTTCTCTGACTATAGACAGTCTTTTAAATGACAGTTTGAAAATTTCATATATGTTTACAATATATTTTAATCATGTCTACCTTATCCTCCATTTCCCCCTGGATCTCCCCGGTCCCCATGCACACACAACACATCTCTCTCCCAACTAAATATTCCCTTTTTCTCATGCCAATGAGTCCAGCTAGTGTTGCCCATACGCTCCTGGGTGTGGGACCATCCACTGGGGCACAGACAAGCTTCCAGCAGTCGCACTCCTAAAGGAAAGTGACTTGACCTCCTCCAGAAGCCATCAACCACCAAAAGCTCCCTCACTTGATCATGTACCTGTTTTCCCCTGTGTGGGTCTTGTATAGACCACAGCTGCTGTGAGCTCTAACAGCCATGCCATGTCCACGAGACAGCATCCGCAGCACCCCTCATGCTCTGGGGCCCGCACTCTTTCCACTCCTCCCTTCCACAATCTTCCCTTAGCCTACAGGGGTCAGATGGACACAGAGGACCCATCTATAGCTGAGCACCCGCCCATGGTGGCTTACACTCAGCACTTTGGACAGTTATGAATCTCTGCATCAGCCACCACCCACTACAAAAAGGAGCCCCCTCTGACCATGTGGAAAGATGTACAAATCTTAAGCAGGAGGCCACAGGAGCCTGGAGCAAGCTTTCTAGGCTTGAGCGTGTTTTAACCCAGTGAACTTTGGGAATAGGGTGGGAGGTGCTATTCCTTGAGCTTCTCTGAGGCCATTTCATCTACTTGCCCTTCTCCGTCATGGTGTCGGGTGTTTACTGAGCCTGCCTGCCCAGTTACCAGTAGCACAGCGTTTCACAGAGCAAGTCACTTGCCTAGCCAAGAGTCCAAACCTTTGGCCTGTGTTAAGCGATGGGGCAGTAATGGAGGCCTGTAATAGGAGCTGTCCTGTGGAGCCCTTGGGACTGGTTGAAACCAGCAAGGTCTGGTAGACATCAGTAAAGCTGAACAGATGCCCAGAAAGGCCAACTCAGATAACTGTATCCTCAGGCCTCAGTGAAGCCAAATCAGTTCTAGGGGTGTCTCTGGGTTATGAGCGGGGTGGGGGGAGGGTTGATGAGTTTGGGTCACGTGGACCTTCTACAGATTAGAGGGAACCCAAAAAGCCGAGACTTACACTGAGGGAGTGAGTGAGGCTTTCCCCCATGAGGGCCAGTGTCTTTTCCTTGTTACTGTGCTACAATACATCTTTTGGGAGAGAAAGTTTATTTGGCTCAAAATTGCAGGAAGTCAATTGTGGCAGGAGCCTGAAGCAGCCACTCGCATCCATCCACAGTCAGGAGCAGGAAGAAAGGCATAAATGCATCAATGCATGTCAGTGCTCAGCTCACTTTCTCTTTTTCATCCATTCCAGAAGCCAACGTAAAAAAGCATGCCAGCCGTATTCAGGGCGGGTCTTCCCACCTCATTTAAAACAGCTCAAAATCCTCTGGGGTTGGAAAGATGGCTTGGCAGTGAAGAGTGCTTGTTTCTCTTGTGGAAGATCAAAATTAGGTCCCCTATAAAAGGCTTCTCCACCAACACAGTAAGTCAGATTAAGCCAAATTAAAACGTAAAAGACCAGGTATATTTGAGCAAAGCACTTCCGGGTGAATACTCTAGGCCCCAGAGAGCAAGGTAGGGGAAGAGGGCCAGAGAGAAATCACATGGCTGCTCTGAAGGAGGGGCTTAAGTACCCTGCAGGCTCGGGGCAGGGCAATGAAGCATTCTTCATGAGCTGGGTTTGTGCCCCTGTCCTGGTACATAGGGTCTTGGGCAGCTAGCAGACTCAGGGGAGGAGCTGCTGCTATCATGGAGAATGGGAAACTGATTATTTTGTTTGTTTGCTTGTTTGTTTTATTGTTTTGGTTTTGGCAATTATCAGAGGGTGGGGTTTGCGGGAGGGGGGAGAGAAAGAACTGGAATTGAGCTGGAGATTCCAGCTGAACACCTAACACCACATCAGGCAATTCACAATGTCCTGTAACTCTAGCTCTAGAAAATCCAATGCTGGTCCTCTTCTTGGCTCTATAGGCATGAAAATATGGCGGCATACAATCATACACATGCACACACATGTGCATACACACACACACACACACACACACACACACACACCTTGACCACAGGCTGACCTGGTCTAGAGATTTTCTCATTAAGATTCCCTTTAGGTGAAGTTTGTGGAATCCTGCACAAGAGGAGGAGAAACAATTGTAAGAGCCATGGGGGTTAAGGACACCACAAGAAAACTCATAGAATCAACTAACCTGGGCTCACAGGGGCTCACAGAGACTAAACAGACAATGAGGGAGCCTGCATGGGACTGACCTGGGACCACTGCATATATGTTACTGAGGTGTAGTTTCGCCCTCTTGTGGGACTCCCAACAGTGGCAGCAGGGGGTGTCTTAGACTCTTTTAAGGACTTTTGGGATCCCACTTCTCATAGTAGGTCACCTTGCCCAGCTGTAATTAATGGGAAGGTTCTTAGTTTTACTGCAACTCGATATGCCATGTTTTGCTGATACCATGGAAAACCTGTCCTTTCCTGTAGGAGAGAGGCCGCTTGATCGTTCCTGGCTGCTCAGCCACAAAAAAAAA